TTGCTCCGACCTGGGATCGAGGGGAACCCTGTGCAGCCTCACCGGGCCCCGCACCCGGGGTCTCTGCCGCCCCCCTGGCCTTGCCTGCACAAGTCCTTGGCCACGTCGTGGAAGAAGAAGCGCAGCTTGCCCTGTACCAGCTGCCGGTAGGTGAGGAAGATGCTGGTGAGGTGGGTTTGTTCCATGGAGCGTGGGGAGCAGCCCGGCTCCCAGGGTCCTGCCTGAGGGGCGAGAGTGGGACACAGGGGAGTGACAAAAGCTGTCGTACCCCCCCCCAGCGCAGCTGGTACCTGTGCCAAGGTGGTGGGGCTCGGGTGGGAGGAGGTCTCACCTCCCCGCTGAAGGTCTGCAGGAGCAGGAGGAAGGAGTTGGCGTGTTGGTAAAGCTGGCTCAGCTGCCTGGCCCCACACTCCTGGGTCACCTGGCTCTGGGCCCCCACCACAGCACCCACCAGCAGCGCCAGGTCGCAGAGGATCTCCTGACGCTTGGTCTCGCTCTGGGGGAGCAGGCAGAGACAGTGCTGGCCCCTGAGCCCAATTTATTCCTCTGCCCACCCTAGGTCCCCCTGTGCCACCAGGTACACCCACAGGCATCTTGTGCAGCATCTCTGGTGCCTGTGCCAACCCGGCTGCTCCTTCCCCAGCCCCGTGGGCACCCCAGTGCCAGCACCATCCTCCCAGCCCCTCTCACCGATTTGGATCTCCACTGCTGGAGGCTGAAGTCCACCAAGGGCAGCACCATGGGGCAGCTGAGCGTGGGAAGTGCCTGGCACTGGCCCTAGAGAGGGGAGGAGATGCTGAGGTGAGATACCAGGAGCTGGCCTTGGCCTTGGGTTTGGGAGGGGGGCTGTATCCTCACCACTCTCTTCTCCATGTCCTTGGCCTCCCCGATGTATTTCTGGATGAGTCTGTTGTCGCAGACCAGCCGTGTTGGGCTGGCACGGCTCTCTTCCATGTGCAGGAGGAAGGATGTCAGGAGGAGCAGTCCTGGGGGGGACAAGGTCACCTCAGGCACCATGCCACCTTCTCTGGGAAGCTCTAGGACCATGCCTGCAGCAGCAACCCCTCACCCCAGCCCAGTGGTGGCCTTGATGGCCCCTTGGCGGGGGTGCAGGGGGAGGTCTAGGGGGGCTGAGGATGGCCTGGTGCTGCCCTGTGGTCAGCCAGCACAAGTGCCCGGTGCTCTCTGGGGAGAGCTGGGGTTTCCATGCCCGTGGTGTGTGCTGAGGGGCCACACGAACGTGTCTGTGCCAGGCTGTTTGGCTCCACTCCAGGCTGGGCTGCAGGCAGGAAGCAGAGCTGTGCTCCCTGCGCAGAGCCGGGCCAG